TCTTTTTCACCTTTGTATTTCTCTTAAAGTGTACTACTTACAACCAGAATTACAGATGGCAGCGCCGAAATTAATATTTTTCCGATTTTTTCACGTAATTGGGTGGTAGTTTGTACTTAATCACTAGACTCTTCATTTCGTTTCTCGTCTATCTCAAAAAATATTCTTCTGATTGGAGATAGCTTTGCACCATTGAATTTCTCTTAAAGTGTTCTACCTACACCCTAATATCTTAAAAAGCCCGAAATAAATATTTTTTACCAAATTGTCACGTACTGGGGGGGGGGCGATTGTGTACCTGATCATTCAGGGGTCATTTTTTTTTCATCTATCTCAAAAATATTCTTCTGATTGGAGTTTGATGTGGCACCATTGAAATTCTCTTAAAGTGTTCTACGTTTACACATAATATTAAAAGGAGCGCCGAAATTAATATTTTTTACAAATTTGTCACGTAATGGGGGGTATTTCCTGATCATATTGAAGAATCATTTTGTTCCTTGTCTATCCCCAAAAATATTCTTCGATTGGAGTTGCTTTGCACATTGAATTTCTCTTAAAGGGTTCTACCTATACCCACAATATTAAAAGGTAGGGCGGAAATTAATATTTTTTCGATTTGTCACTAATTGGGAGGGTATTATGTACACTGATCATTTAGCGGGTAATTTTGTTTTCATCTATCTTCAAAAAATATTCTTGTGATTGGAGTTGCTTTGACCCTTGAATTTCTCTTAGTGCTACGTTACACAATATTATTAAAGGCCAGCGCCGGAAATTAATATTTTTCCGAATTTGTCACGTAATGTGGGGGGTTTGCATCATGTTTTTTCGAATATAATATGGTGCAACAGCATACAATGGCAAAGTTTCATATTGACGAAGCACTTTTGGTAAGATTATAGATTAAAACACTCTATCTCGAATACATACAAGTTGAGAACCAATATTTCCGAGAACGCCAACAAGCTTCGTATTCTGAGAAGGTTCAGCGTAAGAAACAAGAGAGGCCCTGACTCGATGATCGATAACCACACGACAGGAAATTATCAGGCGCGTGGGCGGACAGCGGAGGGGGATCAAGATGGAGAATCAAAAGGAGGAGAGAGAAGACAGTAAACGCAGGTGGAAAATGAAAGTGTAATTGAGGAATTGATAGTAGGAAAAAGTAGTGGGACGAGGGGAAAATGCAAAAGAACGGAGATGAACTATTAAAAAGGAAGACAGATGAAAGGGAAGGGAAGAGAGGAAGAAGAGGTTCAAGGAAGAAGAAAAGGAATGTTGACGACCGGGAAGAAAAGGAAAGGAGCGACGAAAAAGAAAGGAAGGGAAAATGACAGAGTGAATAGTTAACGACTGCAGGTGCCTCAATAACTCAGTCCTCATTCCCTTAAGAAAAGTACGTGTTATATCCCTGGAAGTGGCGGTGGTCCTCCTCACTGGAACGTAAGATCCCGCGTCAAACTACACTTGGGATTACGGGTTTTCCCTTTTACAGGTAACGCTCCAAGCGTCGAATCGCCCAAGACGAGACGAGATTCAAGTGCCTGACTGTTCTCTCGACGTACGTGGTACACAGGTGTAAGTAAACGTGTGTGTGTGCGTATGTGTAAGGAAAAAGGAGGGAACAAAGAAGAAGAAGAAGAAGAAGAAGAAGAAGAAGAAGAGGAAGAAGAAGAAGAAGAGGAAGAAGAAGAAGAAGAAGAAGAAGAGGAAGAGGAAGAAGAAGAGGAAGAGGAAGAAGAAGAAGAAGAAGAAGAAGAAGAAGAAGAAGAAGAAGAAGGGAAGAAAGAAAGAAAAATCATGCACAGTCTTGCATGGCAAGGATACTGCTCCGGCATTCGCCTAGTATTAGCACGTTTGCTGTTCTCGGAGTCATATGTGACTCCCAGAAACTGTACAGATTTTGATGTGGACTTGTTACGGTAGTCACAGAATTAAGAAATACACCACGGCGTGAGGAAAAATATTTTTATTTTTGAGAATATTACAACAAAACGTTCCGACAATCGGGATCGTTTGGACGTGCAGAGATATTTCAAGTTTTCATAGGAATAGGGAACGCGTTAAGAGACTTTTGGCACGACGTAGTTTATGGCAATCGACTTGAAATCGAAATCGGGATAGAGAAGCTCGCTATTCCACCGAATTTGGTGGGCGAATTAAGTCCAAGTCCAGTACTAACCTATCATTCGGTCATACTATAGGGAGTTTGCGCACGCCATGGCGGACAGCAGTATCGATCTTCTGCGCATGCGCATATGCACAAAAGTGATGCGAAACGTAAACAGTGCATGCGCAGAAGATCGATAAAGATTTAACGTTCGAGGGTGCACAAACTCCTTTACATCGAGTTGTTCCCGCCTTTGGCGGCAGTGTGCGCTGAGAACTTTCTAGAGGCTAAGTCCGTAGAAAAATTAATGGGGTCCAAACACGTGGCAGCTCTGGGTTGAGTACGTCAGACAGTTACAGATACACTTACCTACAGATCACTGGTGCAAAACATCTTTCTCGACTTCACTCGCTATTGACCTCGATCTTACTGTCAGTAGCTACAACCCTTTGCCAGGCGAAAACTTCCTATTGATTGGAGAATTCAAAAAAACTATAGATAAGAACAGCCAGCTATATTATTTTTTAAATTAATCGTTTATTTATAATTTGTTCATACATGAGAATAATAAGTAAATTTGTTGACTAGATAATTAGCAGTGATTGAAGAAGATACTCATTAGCATCACTCCATTAGTACAGTTGATTTTTTTAAGACGCCTATTTCTAAAGTGTTATCTAACAAATTTATACCTTAAGTGTTAGTATTGCATTCTAATTTTTGAATACATTTACAACTATATTTTTTTCGGTAATCGTTGACATTTTAAAATCGGACTGAATTACATAATTTCGAACATGCCAGGGGGCATTGGCAAAGTTTCTTAATATTTTGGATTGAAATCTTTGAATGATTTGGATATAGGATATGCTATTGGTGCCCTAAAGATGTATGCAGTAAGCCCCAACAGGCTTTAAGAATGATTTATAAATGAGTAATTTATTGTCTAAAGGCAACCCTGGCTTTCAACCTAACAACCAATACAGTTTGTAGGAGGAGTTCTCTCCGCTTACACATAATATGTGTTTTCCACGTACGTCTCGTATCAAGCTGCTAGAATTCTCCTCCAGTCGGAGGTTGAAATGAGGGAGTGGGGGACGGGAGGGGCGCCACTCCTTTGCGTGGACGCGTGCTGTGCGTGTGTGCGTGTGTGCGTGGGCGTGGAGGCCGGAGGGGCGTGGGCGGCGGCTGGCAGTCACGACTCGTTTGCTTAAATGAAATACGCAGAAATGAATTGCTCTGAAGGATCTCGGGAGAGAATGCTAGAGCGTGGGCTATGCCGTTTCGAGTTGCGCTGGTCGCTTTCTCGTCTTAAAGGAGAGGTTTTTTTTTGTTTTTGAAGATGAGAAATTAAGGAATTTAAGTAATCAGTAACGTTTATTTTGTGTGGATGAGGATATATGAAGACAGCAAAATCTGTAATAAGAAAATGTAATGGTTTGCTTGGGAAAAATCCTTAATTATTTCTACTAATAGTTGAATGCAGTTCTGATAATTGCGATAAGAAATGTTGGTGAAATGTGGAAAGATTTTGTTTTATAAAACTTGATATGCAGAAATTATTTAGAGTGCTGGACTAATGCCTAACCCAATGATACTAGGAAAAATAAACTGAACATTATTTTATTTCAGTCATAGCCCCGCCAATAATATTAATTATATTAGCATCCACCATGTCGTACCATTCTGTAGTTCAACATCGATCTGAGAATATATTTCCTATTAAGCCAAGTTTTTTGGAGGAATATCATAATAAATAAAGTAAATAACCTATCGTTAAAATTGCAGTAGTAAGAATAAATGATAAGATTTAACCATTCGAAAAGCTAGAGAAGTGTATTAACAATGTTTTGCAGAATTTGAGAAAGCAAGTGAGCTTATTCAATAATTAAAATGTGACTTCTCATGCAGGAGTTTATCATTTAACATTTAGGCGCATTTATTTCCACCATTCTTCACATTATATCGTAACGAGTTACATTACGGAAATACCTTATACTGAAAACAAAATATACTTCGCATATGTTAATAAGATTTCTTCGTATGCTAATAAATGCATTATAATGCAAATACAAAAACCCCATAGAACTAACAAATGCATTCACTTCATACAACAACTGGTTTCACATACAACATCAACAAAAGAAAAACTTTAACATTCACGAATTGCAGTCAAATTCGTCCAGACACAACAAAACATTTTGTATCTACAAGCGAAATTAAAACTTCGTGCTTAAACATAGTATCTGGGGAGGAAACATCGAAACTGTGAAAAATAAGTTTTTAAGACAATTTTAAGCATGTTTTGTCTAATAAACTCCGTGGATATTTTGAATATCTGAACCAGAATAAGTTCTCTAATGTTGTATTAAACATAATTCCTGTGCAATAATTTAAATTTCAGAAGCATGTATACCCTCGAAAAACATGTAAATTGTTCATTATTTACAAAAGAAATTATTATATTGGTTCAGAAAGAAATAAACAAATCAAAAACATCCAATTTACACAATTCAATTGTTTTTTTTATTTGTGTTAATTTTTGGTTGTGAACAAATGCATTCATTTCTTTTGTAAATAATAAACAATTTACACGTTTCTGGAGTGTTTATGTGTTTCTGAAAATTAAATGTTTGCATGGAAAATATTTTTCAACCCAACTTTTGAGTGCTTGTCGCAGGTTAACCATTCGAAATATCGAAGGCGTTTACGAGACTAAATATGCTTACAAGTGACTTAAGAGCTCGTTTTCCAAGTTCCTCCCTGGACGCGCTGTACACACCGGAGCGGCGAGCTGCGGCCGCGCTCCGGTGCTAACAACTCCGGGAGCGCGTCCGGCGCCGGAGCGGAGCGGAGCGGTGCGGTGAGGGGAGGGGGGGGCGAGTACCTTGTCGTTGCAGATGTGGAAGCGCTTGTAGACGCCCACGCAGAGGGCCGGGCTGCGGTGCTTGGGCGCGTGGGCGCGGGCGTGGGCGTGGGCGGCGGGGCGCGGGGCGCGCGTCGCGTTGTGGAGGCCCGCGTCTGCCAGGCGGCGCCGCCGCTTCTCCGCCCTGCGCACACAAGCACGCCACTCTTACTCGTCCACTCCCGTTGCATAATGCTGCATTTGACGGCTGCAGCCCGCTGCGTAATGAGACGCATTACGACACAGGTTCTTGGCCAATCACAGAGAAGTTTACAAACCAGTATTGGCAATTAATCATTGAGATTCGTTCGAGTAAATGTTTCGTTCGATTCTGTACATTAAAATTACATTTGGTATTATATCACGCAAGTAGAGAAAGAAATCCCACCGTTCATGGCTGGTGGCTGTTAAGAAATTTAACAACTTGCTGAAGCGCAAAAAGATAGTACATTAAAAAAAAGTTGTAACTGGAGGTGGGGTGTGAGAAATCCTATTTCAAGTAAAGATATCCATCATCTATATTTTTTTTTGGTTATAAGATGTTATTGCCAAACACATTGAACGACATACAGCCGATATCTCAAATAACAAGTCTTGGTTTATTATAAACCACGGCTTTCGCCTCAGTTTATAAACTTCAAAAGAGTCCATTATTTGCTGTATATCAGTTTAAAAATATTAACAGTAGTGCCACTTATCTTTGAACAAGGTAAATTTTAACAAATATAGCACTGCAATAAATATATTCTGACATGAAAAGTGAGAAAGGGATATCAAAGAAAACAGAATTAAAACATATGCAGTATCACAAAAAAAGGTAACAGAATTACTTAGCATACCAATTGTCTGATATTATTATTATTATTATTATTATAGATTGTTTTCACAATTAATTAAAATAAGGAAAACTTTGTAACTAGGAGTTTTTAATCATGAACAATTGTTAGATACAAAATAATACAATATTTCATAGCCAGATACGGCCACATCTTCACGTTCACAATCGTCTAGAAAAAAATAAAGCATTCCAATAACAAGGATCCTCCAAATAATTAATAAATTCTTAAAATATATTCCATCATAGATTCGCCTGGCATTCCCTCAGACGACATCGCAATACTTTCCATTCCATCAACGTGTGCGCTCAGTCACATCCTGCATATCACCAAACACCACCTGACATCAAATTTGGCACGGCGACGTAAAAACCCCACTACCCCCCGTAAAAAATCAACTACACATCAAATCCTGCCTCGCATCAAACACGAACATCATCAAACCTTTCATCACATCGAAGCTGATATGACGTCTCGGCGTGAAGTATCGAGGCCCAACCGAGGTCATAGAGCCGTCGCCTCCCGCCGAGCCCTTCCCTGGATTCCCGGCCCTTCAAAGGGTGCTCTCCTCCTCCCCCTCCCCTCCCCCTGCTCGTAATGAAGCGGGGGGGGGGGAGGCAGGTCGCGACCACACCAGCCGGGCCCCGCACGCGACCCCCGCCGCGGCATTCCTGCAGCCGCGGCCCCGGCGCGCAGTGGGGCTTCACGTGCATTTCTGGAAGAACGACGCGCACACGGTAACCATACACGAGAAGCTGCTTTTCCAAAAGGTACCAATCCAAGTGGACAACTTTTACAGCGCAAAAAAATTAAAATAGTTATAGTATTAAAGTAAAAATTCGCTTTGAGGTCGTTTGGGTGTTACAGTCAGATACGCTAACCATTACACCATCGCCGCAACTTCATTTTTTCTTAAGCGTTCATTTACTTGCATCATAATACTTCTTTAAATTATTTCACTCTCTGACGTAATCCTCCGTAAGCCTTTTTTCCGTAGTTTGAGAATATCCTTATAAGTCTTTACATGAAAGGGCAACAGAGATAGCACATGGAACAAGGCCTCAAAAATTACTAGGGTCGAGAACACGAAATTATAATGGAATTCTATCCTTACAAATAATTCAGACTGTTATCAAACAGTAGAGTAGAATAGAATAATACATTACAGGAACATTTTATTCCATTACATACCATGCAACAAATACACACAAAAACTCGACAAGCGACAAGAATTCAACATCTATCCTTCAAAACCTGTGCCTAGTTTTCCTTCCAGAATTAATCATAGGCATATTAATGGTATAAATCATCATCTGGTGTTGTCTTACTACATCATTGACAGAATTGTCATGTTGAGTTAGAAAGGCTCCAGAACTTGCGTCCTGGAAACAATACTTCTACAGGGAACGTAAAATTTATGAACATGTCATCAATCAATTACAATTCACAAAATCCATACCTACAGAATATCCATTAGCCTCTTAGAAATCTGAAGGATTGTGCTGCTTTCGAAAGCAATTTCTATCAACTTCTAGAAAGAGGACGACTATTTTTCTGAAGACCCAAGTATACTTGATATGTGACTATCTTTTTAAGCTTCGGTTTTATCTTTCATGAAACCAAGCTGATTCACCAACTACCTGTATTAAAGAGTTAAATATTTTTTAGACTTGGATTCACTGAATATTGAAACAAAATCAAAAGTTTCAATTCAAGTTAAGAGATGGTTTACAGAAATTTTAATAGTAACATGGAAGGTAAAAAACAATCATGAAAACACATGGTTGCGTTTTTTACTTAATGCTACTTTCATTTAATTATCGTACATAGACTTACAATGAACAATACTACAGTTAAGTATTATTATTCCAAAATACGATAGTAAATACAAAACCCACTTTCATTAAACTATTCCTTCGAAAAACCAACACATACATAGGAATGCAGACAGGGAAACAGAGTTGAAGACATTGCTAAATGAATGGTACAGTGTCGTATTACTGACTGTGCTTTGTGTTTGAATGTTCCTCTTGCATGTCTCCTACCTCTGATTTGCAAAGGTACCTTGTGCCGAGATGAAACAAACAATCCTGATGACAAAGTGAGAAATTCGTAGGTTCTCTCGACACTTGACCTACGTGGCCAACGTGATTAGCCTATTCACCTGATGAAATGCCGTTTTCATTTACTCTTAAAATACACAGCAGAGAGAAAGATGCAAAGGCATATTTTAGTTTAGAGATTCATTACTGCAATGTAACGGTCTAATGATGTGTTCAATATTTTCATCTTATCTTTACAATTTTGTTTATTCATGATCATCAGCAAAGATATCTTCCAAATCAATAGTATCTATAGACTCTACAAATATAATAATCTACATTAGAATGCGACTTCCTGGTTGAAATATCCGTCTTCTGCGGTAATATAATCGTAATAACGGTAATAGTACGTAATACATACTACTTTGTCATGCAGACAAGAACAAATATGAATAATGAACTATGAAAAGAAGTATTGCCAATATTATTTTAGAAGTAGAATTGCCTTTGGGTAGATAATGTTCATTTATCGTTAAAATTGACATCGAATGGAAAATATTTGTATCGTCTTTGTAGACCGCCAATGAAACTATATTAGTAAATTTACTGTACCTAACGTTTCACCAAAAAAATCATATACTATTATTCAAAGGAGATAGAAATGGATTTTTGTAGATGGATCAAAATATACTTGTAGTATTGGTTTGGAATTAATGTTCGTTCGAGATACTATCAAGCGTTTGTTGTGAATGGCGCTGCAATTGGGTTACAGCTCGTTGCATTGAAAATGATTTTGTAAAGGTTGCAGATTCCTGTAATGTTGATCAGTGTATTAGATAGCGAAACAGCGGGTAACACACCCACGCACGTTGAATGAATTTTTGAATATTTTGTTCACAATCAATAATTTATTAAAATATGCAACAGTATAACCAAATTGTGATCTGCAATGACTGCTCTAATCACATTGCCTCGTCCATATTACGCATTATAAGAAGTAAGTTCATGACAGCGATTGTAATGTGCGTTAATTTTATTGCTTATATGTTCGTTCTCGCAATGATTCCAAAGCTTCATTATTATTTGTGAAAATAAGCTTCTATTATCCAATCTTATGATTTACTTTAACTCATTTGCAATCCCAACATCGTAAATGCTTCGTCAATGCGAGCCCTTTACACTTGTTGTTTCTGAGAACGCATCTAAGCGGGCGTACATGCCACTACGACAAGCGTGCTGCTGACACCGACGAGCTGCCCGTTGGTCGCCCGGAGGGCAGGGCCACCTTCCTGCGAGGCGAAACAATCGACAATCAGGCACAGGCATGCGCCGATTCAGCGCCCCTCTTAGCACGGCGCTTGTGCGGCGGGGATGCGACAGAGAACGGCGCGAGGACAAAGGAGAAGGAACGGCGAGGAGACATCGAGGGGTTAGATTGTGTTTCGTTTTTCCGGGATCGTGAACTGTTTTAGCCATCTGAGAGCGTAGGCATCCGCGGACGAAGTCAGTAGCTACTTGGCTCTCCAGGAGACGCCCCGTCGTAGGTGCAGGTGTCAACGTTTCGGCCGCCATTCTGCGCCTTTCCTCAGTGCGAAATGAGTTTGTTACGGTTCTTTTTCGGCGCTCATTATCATTCGGAAATAATCACGAAAAGCTATCGATCGGAGGAGTCGGCCACTAGCGTGCTTCTCGAGACGGTGGCTGAATTGGAGACAGCTTTGTAGCTAGTGTCGAAGATTCGCGCGCTGTCATTTGCTGAGGTATTGGGTCGAGCGTTCCAGCTCTGAGCGCCGGAAGTACGGATGAGCAAAAATGGACCACTCTGCTTCTCTTCGCCTCATGAGGAGGAACAAGTGACGTGTGATAATGTTGTAGAATGAACACATTATCCACATAGGCAACGTTAACTTCGAAGCAAATATTCTATTAAATATTTTTTATTATTTTTGCAATTCTTGTTACATTTATTTTGTATAAAAGAAAGTAGTGTGTGATGCCAATGAAATTATTAGTAAATATTTGGTTTTCTTTTCGAAATTTAGAATTTTGAGACTGTAATAAAATATTTCGGAATTCATATTGCACCTCTTTTCTGATGTAATATTAACATATGCACTAAGGTTTTATCCACCTGCTGCATTTGTAGCAAAAGTTCAAAGCATTTTTCTCGCTATTTTACCCAGCCTACGGGAAACTTCACATATGATTCCATCTCTTTCACTTTATTTGTACTACTTGTTATGATGACGTTTCAACTTCATGGCGTCTTCAACCTGACGCTCTACTTTTGAAATATTACCTCAATATATAAGCGACCATCAGAACGGTTTTCTGATCCCCGCTTCTTCCTTGCAACGTTACCGGCAGGCGAAAACTGTCATTCAGGATTGCCATCTAGAGGATTTTGAGTTAACTATCATGGCGCTTGATCGAAATCGTCTGGTAATGGACTATTAATTTGTACTGTCATATAAAAAAAGATACCTACTCAATCAAATCACTCAAGGAAAAGTCCAATTGAAATACGGTTTTAGATCATAACCATCGAACCTTCGTAAAAAAAAAGCTCTACAGCGGTTAAATTACAGTATAGTTTGTGTTGAAATGTTACTACACAGGTTTGATGCTACGAATTATGGATGTAATAAAATGTGCTGGATGTAATAAAATAAAAGAAGTAATAACTACCACTAGCATTAAAGTTTTTATAAGACGTTAAACGCAATGCAAACTCAATATGTTGAACATATTCAAAATTATAAAATTTGACATGTTCATTATTCCCAAAACTTACGCATATTTTTCGTTAAGATAACAAATTAATAATATCTGATAATGGTTTGAAGAAGAGTTTTAATATTTTAATTGGACAACTTTCTTTTCACTCTGTATAGAAGCAATTTCAGAAGATTAGGAATGCATGGTCTAGGAAAAATACTTCCTGGACATCTTTAGAAAATGTGACAGCATGAAAGACAAAAGAAACGTCGTTCAATGAAGTGTCAACACTAGTGCCTCAACAGAATTTTCCAATACGTACACCATTCAGTTATTTGAAATGTTCGATAAGTATTGTGCACTGTAATATTTTCTGTGGCTTGTTAATAAGAAAAATGTGTATTAATTGGTGCGGAAGCTGGTGTACCATTTAAAGCTGAAAACCCTTTGAAGAACTGTTATCAAACGGTTATTTGAGTTATTGAACGCCATTCATAAATATCAATTCAGTGACAAATGCGATCTTTTTTACACACATACAGCTATCAGGTCAATTAGCTACACGAAGTAGCCTTTAAAAATATTAATAAATGGACATACTATTTTGTGTTTCAATCAGTTTACTGAAGACAGACTTAAAAACTGAAGACAGGCTGAAATATTTTAAGTATGCAGAAAATTAAAGTGCAAAGAATGCCAAAGCGCCGTCTTCGGGTGGCCATGATTTCCGAAAAATGTGGTAGTGATTTTACAAGCTTAACATTCAATAACTGGGATTCGACACAGGAAGAATACGCAAATTTAAACGTTTAGTCACAAAGAGTCATCTTCTTTTCTACTCGTTTATTTGAAAAACAATCAATAATAAAATAATTGTGTATGTTAATATCTTTTATTTCTGAAGCAAAAAAATCATTCAAAGAGAAAAAATATAACAAAATCATCAATTAAGTTTTTCAAAGTAGAGTTCAAATCGATTAATAAAACAACAAGGTTGAAAAGAAACTTCATTTGTCTCATGACCAAGAATATAAATGAACCCCCCCTATTGATCTTTACAAAATGACAGAAGCAAAAACCAAATGAAACGAGTATCGATTGTAAGAAGTGAACTAAAAGCCTACTCAATGTTTACGTATGCATTTTTTAACAGTTTGAATGAATTACATGAAAAAGTGCAATTAGTTAAAACATCAAAAATGACTTCACTATCTCAACATGAGTTACATTGCTTTACATAGACGCTACCCTTTTTAGTGTATCGCTTTATTATCACACGGCACACGCTTTAGAACTCATGTGAAAGTAATATTACATCGCTTCAGTCAGACATATAAACTTTGCTTCGTTCAGGTTGAGATTTCTCCAAATTATCAAGCTTAAATTGTATTATAATAAATTTTTATAGTTTATTGAAATATTATTAGTAAAATAAAAGGTTTTTAGGTTTCCCAGAGTAATAGAGACGAAACTGTCAAACCATGGCATTACCTCGCAGTTTGCAAGAACTCTCTCCAGTGTTCCGCATAGCTTGGGCCCTTGGACTAGTCTCATTTACTATTGCACCGCAACTTCGTGTCCTACGCAGCAAGTTTAGCACTTTAGTGGCCATTGTGATGATTATCTTGCATGCTGGATTCTGTTATCGCTTTATTGTTGGAAGAAATATTTTTCGTTACTTATTGACTTTTTCTGCAACATTGACAGGGATATGGACACCTGTTTTCATTGTAATTTATACCTCCACTCAAGTACAACGTGCACGATTATATCGTTTTCTCAATATCTTGGCAGCTTTGGAACGTGTAACTGAATATGATTCCTGGAATGTTCCATTCATTGCTCGTAAATGGGGTGCTATTGTTTATGTGTTTACAATGTCTTCAATACATCTTATTGTAATCACTCTCGCGACAACATTTAAGCTGCAATCGTTTGACAAAAATCTTCTAAGCTGCTGGCCTTCATTAATTATATATCTTATGTGTTATTTATACGCTGCTTTGACATCTATAATAAAATGTTGTTACAAAATGATGAACGATCGAATGTTCGTGCTGGTCAATGCACTAAATGAAACTGATACACGCGGAGAAAATTCAAATATTTCGCAAGGATTGAACTATCACAGCCTATCAGTGAAGGCAACCCACGATTACGATGGCTGCATTCAAAACACCACGATCGAACGAAATATATGTTCACTGCGCGAGATTCACTTCCTGATTCAAAAGGCATCGCGAGCCATCGACAGCATGTTCTCAGTGCCTTTGCTGTTCCTGTGCGCTGACATCTTCATTCGAGTCGTCATCCAGCTGTTCCACATCCTCGCGGCGCCCAAACTGCCGACGACGGTCGTCGCAGTGGCGGTCACCCCGGTGTGCGTGGGCGTGCTGGAAGGTGCGTTACGTTTCCTCTCTGTTTAACAGTACATTGCATTAATTAAGCGTTTATCGCAAGAAAGTTGTTTTTTAGTTCCACATTCGTTTCATCTGTACGTAATACATTGTAACCATTGCTCTCGTTACATGTGCATACTATTGTCCGATGTATAACGAAGGTTATTATCTATAAATATTATTTGCACGTTTACTGTAACTGTAAAACGGTACTGGGAAAGATGGCTCAGGCCATCAACTGATTTTAATGTAAGGTCCTGGGGCTTGAGTCCCGACGGTGGCAGGATTTGCGACACTAACTAGGCAGCCTGTAAGATTCACCCGCTGTTTGGTTTAAGCGACCGCCTGTTCTGATTCGCAGTTTTGCATGTTTTTATCAATACCAGGCGAATGCCGGAGCAGGCCCCTGACAAACAAGCGACGGACCAGCGCAATCTTTCCTTCCTCTTCCTTGTTTCACCCTCGCGCTTACATACACACACTCACACTTACGTGCACTACACTACCACACTTGTTGGGAGACCAGACGGAAGCTTAGAGCCTGTCACGGCAGGAGCAGCACCGTGCTAGTGGGAGATATCTGGTTGGGGAAAATCCACTAATGACGAGTTATCTTCTTATTGGTGCATTCTAGACGTGGATAGGCATGGCGAATGAATGGAATGTTCTTGAGTTTCGGTCATTAAAAAAACATTAATTTAAATTGACAACGATTTGTCTTTTATTAAACCTTCATCAGGGCTTTTGAGGGAATTGGTTATATGCACAATCATCTAATATTATACATCACAGTTTTGAATAATTAGGTATAAATATTTTGTATAATTACGTACCAACTTGTATATGAATATTTATCACATAGGTGATGGAAATGTATAGTAATTGGGTTATTTTTTTTTGCCATTTTTCAATTTTTAGGTCCTTTGTGTTAAAAACTTTGCGTCATTTTTGACATTTTTACGCATTTTATTTCCTTTTCGTATTTTGTTAGTCAATATTACATAAATTTACAATGAAGCACAACAGAGAGATATTTAATGTATCATCAGTTAATGGCGAAATTCAAAGCTGCAGTGCTCTGTTTCTCGAACTTTCAAAATTACACAATCTTCGGTAATTTCCTCAACCTCTCTAAACCGACGGTTGGCAGATTAAGGATTACATTTCCTCCTAATAAAGACTTTATATTAAATATAATTTTATAAAGAAAAGGTTTATTTAAAATTCTAATTAAAAAAAAATCACATTTTTTACAAATTCGAGAGTATTTGTAAGTCAGTTTAGGTCAGTTTTCTCTCACTTTGCATTCAGTTGACAGGTCACTTTTAAAGAATTATTATCGGAGCCGTGGCACTCGGCAGGTGCGCTGGTGTCGTGGGCGGCGGGCGGCGCGGCGGCGGCGGGGGCGGCGCTGGGCGACGCGGACGGCGCGGGTGCTGCGCTGCTGCTGGCTGCGCGCGGGCGCCCGCGGGCGGAGCACGAGGCGCAGATGCTGCTGCTGCAGCTGCGCGCGCGCCCCGTTCGCTTCTGCGCCGGAGGCGTCCTGCCGCTCGACCTGCGCTTCTTCCTGGGGCTGCTCGGCTCCTGCGTAGGCTACGTCGTCGTCATCCTGCAGAACGCGCCCGGCAGGCACCCCCCGGCATGCCGCAAGGGCCCCCTCGCCAGCCACTCCAATGTCACCTCACCGAGGATCTAGGGAGCGGTGACCGACTTCTCGTTTTCCCACTTTCCTCTATATCCGAGTGGCATGCACTTGCGTCATTCTTTCAAGAAGTAATTTATTTTGCCAAACTCTGCAATACCTGCCACTCGCTTTCTGAACTCACCCACGGCTGAGTCTCTAGAGTTGCACTTCCTGATGGATGGACTTCGCGAGGCTGCTCGTCTCCTGCGTCCGGTACGTCGTCGCCATTCTGCAGAACGCGCCCAGCACGTAGCCGCAGGCGTACCTCAAGGGCCCCTTCACCAACGACGCACATTTAACCACACCGAAGATTGAATTCTGCTGTTCCTACGTCGCATAAGTTTTTCTTCTCCCTCTGTATCCGGGTAGCTTAAACTTGCATCGTTCTTTCAAGAAGCAATTTGCTTTGTCAACTTCTGCCATATTTTGAACTCGAACACGATGTAGTCTCTACAGTTGCACTTCTGAATGGCTACTTTGCTTCTATCTGAAAGCTGCCGCTTTTATTTGATTTCTGGGTATCAGGTAAGCCCTGGTGTGTGTATGTTGAGGTATGAAATACAGGCCTGATTATATTCAGTATGGGAAAGAAGCATTTAAATGTTTAATAATAAAAGATGTTGAAGAACGTTTTTAATCGCCAATAAGCGATAAAAAATATCTCCCAGCATCAGCCAGAAAAGTATTGTGCCATGGCATCAAATGATGAATTTGGTCAACAGTATACAACCAAACACCGATCATTATATTATATAATTAAAGAGCTTTTAATTTGATTCGTGCATTGTATTAATGCGTGTCGTACTGTGTGTAGCTATTGTAATTTATTATAACAGTTGGTATAAAATAAAATAAAAAAAGTTCGTAGAGCAATGAAGATATTTTTTCTATACATTAAAATACCTTGCGAGTAATGACAGACGAGTGCTTATTATGGTAGATAAAGTATCTCAATACTAGTCTTGATTAACACATGACAAACAAAAATGTTCAATTGCCTTGCCTGGAGAGTCAATTTGATCACAACTTCCCATCGTGATAGTAGAATCACGTCGACCGCCAGAGGAGGCTCAGAGAATGAACTGATGACACTCCAATACCGTGTGACAAGGAGGTACAAGGGTTCTTATCCCGACGATGACATGATTTCTTCACTGGCTAAATAGCTAGATCGACTTCGGTTAGTGGACGAGAATTACAGCTGTCGGCAGCTCTGTTCTCTAGTTTCCCATGGTAACTACGATCAACGCCAGGCGAAAATCATAGCAGCATCATAGCAAGAGGGGCAAGGACCGCGTGCGATCTTTCTTTCCTCTCCCTTGTCCTTAACTCTTACTTCCACACACATCTCTTACCGGGAGACCATTCGGGGGCTTACAGCTTGTGTCGGCGAGGGCAGAGCCTCGCTGGTGGGAGACCTGGATGAGGAAAACCCAAAAGCTGACGTGTACGTCGGCGGCGGATCTCACCGTCCAACGGGAAGAACATTGCGACTTTTTATGACCATAGCAGGTGACGCTCCCGGCAACAGGAAACATTCAATCTATTCAATCTAGCTCTCTTTGAACATTTCAATTATCTTCCATTTTGAACGTTTTCTTGGTTTTCAGTCTCTCTTATTAATCAGGAAAGAAAATGTTTTTGGCGAGTGTTACACGCAATGACGGTGAATTTTATCCAACTATCTAGAAATTAAATGAAATTTTCGAACTCTTTCTATTGAACAAAATACATCTAACACATATAACAGCATCCAACTCAACACCTCATATAACCTCCATTAATTTTGAATAATAATTCCAGTTTCCTGTTGTGCATTCTACGCCAAACATTTGAGACATTTGCGAGATCGCTTATATCGCTTTCACTGTTCTCATTCCAGAGCATAACATTCACGACGGACAGTGATTTCCATATGGGCATTGTTTTGTCGTAGATTCTATTGCGTATGTGAGGCGCAATGTGTAAATATGTTTGTTAGTAATAAAAATAAATATTCAATCTATTAGTAAGAAAATTAAACAAATTAAGTTCTCTGATCAATGAAATTGTAGACATATTAACATCTATTCGAACCGAATTGATGAGTTCAAAAATATTTTATTGACGAAAGGAAATACAAAAAAAGTTCCGCACCAATTTCATATGTCATATTATAATGACATGGAGATATAAACATATAGGAAGAAAGAAAAACAGAGAGAAGGAGAAAGAGAAAGAGAGGGAGAGACAGACAGACAGAAGTAGAAAAGATATAGAGATATAGAAAAAGGCTAAGAGATACAGATAGAGCTAGAAAGGGAGGGTGTGAGGGAGGGAGGGAGGGAGGGAGGAGAGAGAGAGAATAGAAATTTTTTTAGAAGGATTCAAAACTCCCATTGTAATATCGTCTTGTATACGATGGCCAAGGCACCCACATTCTCATCATTTTCTTTCTGAATAACCAACTAACCGAAATTAAATAGCGCGATTAACGATTAATCGATCAATGGCATTGTTTGTTGTTGTTTGTAGATTGTTGTCCGGAAATAATTAAAAAAATAATATAAATGAGGAGCACTTTCTAAATAGGAAAGAAAAAAGGGTTCTATGTTTTGCTTGCGCTTATTATTTGTTATAAAGTTATAAAGGATGTTAACTCACATGAATCATTAGAAGACATTAATGAACCCCGTCTTTTTTAGAGTAGTTTTATTCAGCGTCTGTTGAAGGTCAATTGAAGGTCACATTAACTTGAGTAATTTTTGAAAAAGAAGTGTTCAGCCAGAGAAAAAAAGTTTTCAGATAACTTAGCCAGAACCTCTTTAATAAGTTGTTACTTCGGATTAGAAAGGGTTGTGGAGAATGAATCTACACGAAGCCTGAGGAAAATCGCTTCCCCCGTGCTGCGCGTTAGCATGGGCTCTAAGGATTATCCCCGTACCAAAGTGACAAACAACTTCGCGTCGTCCCGGAGCAAGTTCCAGCACCTTCGTCTCAATCGTTCATGATTGTATTGCCGATTCTAGGTTGGTTCTATCATTGCTTTGAGATAAAATCAACTACTTACAATGGCGATCCTGTCGTATGCTCTTTATAATCTTTGTAAGTCGCTCCAGTGTTCCCACTCCACTTTCTTCATAATTCAACCCCAAATCCCAAAAAACAGCATATGCATTGTAATCGTCTTGTCAATATTCTTAGCCACGTATGGAACATTGCCAGTTTGGAGAAACCCGTGTTGGCGTGCTTCGTTTTATGCCGCGTCGAAAAATCATTGGAATCCTGTTTTGGTAAACATTTCGCTTGTTATTTCCGGTCAATTTTGGTAGGTGCAAAACAGCCTTCAAGTTGCAGCCAGTGTTATAAAAATATCATGAATTTGTGGCCTTTATTCACCCAATATCTCTTCTTCTGCTACCTTATTGTCTTCGCGTACGTCTCTGCCAATAAAAAGGCTATTAACCCAAAATTATAGATCAGAGAATTCTCGATGCTGTTCAAACAATTATCGCAAGCAGACACCAGAATGAATACGTTCTAACTGAACTCACCGAGACTGAAGACTCATATATTCATTGTGATATCTGAAAACGAACATGAGCAGCCTTGCAGAGGACACAATCCCGAAAACAACCATAGAATCACCTCCGGAATTGCACTTCCGTGGTGCTCAAAGAAGGCAGGCCGAGCATTCGACAGCATCTTCGGCGGCCCGTGTGCTGGTGTTTGTGCGTGTTGCTGCGGGTCGCGACGTGCCTTTTGTACTTCATTTTCCTGTCGGGGCGCCATAGCCCTCGGCGCGGCGACCGTCGCCCTTGCTCGGGAGCATGATGGTATAGTGCGCGCTGGCGGCGCGCTGGTGGCGTGGGCGGCGGGCGGGGCGGGCGGCGCGCGGGGGCGGCCGGGGGCGCGCGGCGGGCGGGGATGGGCGACGCGGACGGCGCGGGGCCGGCCTGCTGCTGGCGGCCGCGCGCCCCGCGGCGCCCCGAGCGCCAAAAGTCAGCTCTGTGCAGCAGGCACGCCAAGCCCGCTGCGCTTTTCGGCGCGTGGATG